CAGCTATTAGGTGCTATGTTTCATTCGAAAATGATAGCTGATTCATTTCGAGACCCCAAAAGATGAAATATGAACGTTTCTTGTCCCAAACCAATAACAGTCTATAAACCAAGAATACAATATTTCACCTGCAGTAACACCAGCAAATATTAAGGTAACAACAGCGAATATCATCTTGAATCTGGATGATTCTCTTCATTGGTGTCGACGTTTTTATAGCAACATTGCTAGCATTGTGCTCTTGGACCCATTGTTTGTTGGTTTTTTGATTTGCGCGTGGCTCAACCCGAACCAACATCAAAGCATGGCATCTGAAACGACCGCCCCAAAGTGTATTGCCATGAGCGCTTCATGGCTGTGAATGGAAAAGTTGTGAAAGAGAAAGTTATTTCCAGCATTGGCAATATGTCTGCCTGCGCCCTTTGCCACAACGCTGTTATTGAAAATAGTTGCTGTTTGGAGGTTATTGCTCTTTTTGGGACTTTGCATTTCAGAAAATCACGTGCAGACATTAGAAAGTTCAGCGAATATTTTTCTTCCTACACATATGCTATTCATTAGCTTTTTTATGTACGGAAAGCAAACAGGTAGTGACTTTGATCAATAATCTCATTTCGGAATCACGATTTCATCTCCCCTTGGTTTCATATGATTCACAAAATTAGATTAGCTTAAGGTTTGTCCTATTATAGATCCTGAAGTAACTTCAAGAAACTAGATTTATTGGCAGCTCGCTTATAATTTGTAGTAATTATTCTTTAAAGACAGATCTACAGTAACAGACGAGCAAGTTTTCTCTTGCAAGCTAATTCTCACAGGTACAAATGCATGAAGCAAGCTTGACATAGCTTTTCCCTTCCATTTCCTGAGATATTTCCAACATCTACCGTATACTGCAGTACTTTTACATGTGAATCTGTAGTTTGATTTACATGAAGATACATTTGATTGTGCAAATACGCTTATGCCCAACTGAGTAACCTTACTTGCTCCATCCATCAATAAGTTCGTATTTACATGTGATCCTCCGCACTCTCTATTGTTTTTATATCTTTGGGATTGTATAGTAATGTTTTTTTTGCATGTAGAATTTTTTTCCAAACAATTGCTTACATAGCTTCCGTCACTCGTCAGTAGTAGAGAACCCTACGGAATGTTTGACCATGCGCGTTCACTTCTGACAGGTGAGCAAATAAGTGTTCCTTGGCAAAAAAACGGGACATAGTGACATCACAGAGCTCATTTTCCGTGCTAGTACAGGTGTTTGCGAATT